GGAATCGTGTAGGAATCAGGGTTGAGAAGGGCGGAGGGGTCGAGCGGGAGGATTGTGAGAGGATGGCGAAGTCACGGGAGGGCGGGAAATGGGACTGGGTAGGCAGCGGGGGAAGAGAGGATGGGGGGGGGAGGAGAAGAGGAGGAAAGAAGAAGAAGAGGAAGAAGAAATGTGGAGAGGGACGAAGAGAAAGAAAGAGAAAAAAATAAAATAAAATTGCTGGTAACTTACCTGCGCGTCGACGATGACAGGGGGTACGAGGCAACACTGACGATGACGTGCCAGCGGCGACGGAGACGACGATGGCGATGATGTGGCCACAACGACGGTGACGAGGTCACGATGGTGTCGATGGCGTGGCAACTCGACGACGACGACGACGACGACGATGCAGATAGGACAGGGCAAGAGGGAGGGCCGAAGCCGCTCTGATACCAGTGTGACAGAAAGCAGTGAGGTCGGGGAAGAGAGAGGGAGGGAGTGAGAGCATACACACACACTCACTCAACTCGAAACGGACTCGACACAACTCGACGGACACGGACACAAAGTGGCAAAGTGGCAAAGTCGCAATCTTGGTTCCGTACACAATGTCGCAGCAAGTCACACTGAAGCACAAGCACTGAGGCCGAAAACTGTGTCCCCCGAACTCAGCTTGAGTCCGGTCTTAAGTACCAGACTCGAGTTGAGTCCGAGGGCAAAACAGCAATTTGCCTCGGGGCTGAACTGAAATCGAAGGTCTAAGCCTGAGCGCCAGAATGCTGGATGGCGCCAAGTACGAAATCCAAAAGTGGCAGAGTCGGGATTTGAGAATGGGCGGCAACTGCAGAGGGCGGCAACAGTCGGGAACCGAAGATCAGAAACTCCAAAAAAAATAGAATAGCAGCCTAGCGGGTGGTACCCCGCGGACCAGGGATCGAACCCTGGCTGAGTCCGTAACACCTGACGTAGAAGACGCGACCAAGGAGGTAGTGCCTCCAGTGAGTCAACGCTTTGTAAATCATGTAGAGTTCCTTCTCATAAGTGGACTTGGCCAGCTTTTGAGAGGGCATCTTTTTGGACATGTACTCTACCGGCCTTAAGTTTTTCCCCTCCTGGTGCGCAAGTATGGCACCAATGCCATATTGACTGGCATCCGTGGTCACAAGAAATGGCTTGTCAGGATCGGGCAGTTTCAAGACCTCATGGTGAGTGAGGGCATGCTTCAGATATCTGAAAGCAGCCTCAAACTTGTTTGTCCACTCCCAAGGGGTGTCAAGGCGTGTCAGGTCCGTCAATGGGGTGGCCACTATGCTATAGTTCTTGACAAAATTACGATAGTAGCCGGTCATCACCAAGAAGGACCTCATCTCAGTCACAGACTGAGGACGCGGCCAGTCACGAATGCTGGCCACCTTCGCGTCATCGGGCTTCAATCCCTCCGCAGAAATCTCATGACCCAAGTACAAGATCCGGGTGCGGCCAAACTCACACTTCTCCCTGTTGATCTTGAACCGGTGTTGTCGAAGGAGGCTAAGGACTTTGTCTAAATGGCCAACGTGCTCCTCGACAGTCCTACTGAAAATAAGTATGTCATCGAGGTACACGATGACAAAATTATCCAAGTAGTCATGGAAGATCCGGTTCATAGCGTGATGAAAGGTGCCAGGAGCATTGCAAAGGCCGAAAGGCATCACCACAAACTCGTACAAACCGTACCTGGTCTGAAAAGCGGTTTTGTGTTAATCCTCGGGCCGGATTGCAATCTGATGGTACCCGGACTTCAGATCTATCTTACCGAAGTATCGACAACCTTGCACTCGGTCCAACAAGTCATTGATGCGCGGTAGGGGCTTTGCGTTCTTCACAGTGCTGGCATTGAGGCCCCTATAGTCAATGCACATCCTCAAGGTCCCCCCCTTCTTCGGTACAAATAAGACTGGCGATCCGTAAGGGGAGACAGTAGGCCGGATCCAACCCTTCTCTATGAGTTCTGAGCTATCGACGAAGTTCATCGAGCTCAGCTGGAGACATCCGATAGATTCTACCTTCGGAATACTAGACCCTGGGATAATCTTTATCAAGTGGACTACCTCCCTCTCAACAACTCCTTTCGGCTCTTCAAATAGATCAGGGTACTTAGTGACTACTCCCTCTATCTCCAGCGGCATTTTCATCGGCTCGCCTGCTGCAGAGACATAAACTAAGTACATACCCTCCTCCGGATTTTGCTTATAATAATTATAAAACGCGGCCGCACACATGCGTCCGTAGGACTCGATCAGACTACTAGCTTTAAACTTACGTAATCTGGTGGTTCCTCCTCCGGGCAAAATGTGTTTGACCACTTTTCTGTCCCAGTCAAACTGGGGTTGTGCAACCGAAAGATAGTACATACCTAACAGGATGTCCATCGGGAGATCATCGCTGACTAGGAACGAGACTCATTGTCTCAGTTCCCCTCCCGCGTATGGGAAAAGACACTCAACGTCTTTAAGGTAGTCGTTGACTACCATGCACTGTTTGTTGGCACATGTCGACTCGGGCGCTGCACTTGCCCCTGTAAGTGCAGCCTCTCAACGCACGCGCAACTGATAAAGTTTCATGATGAGCAAGTGTCATAATAGGCCCCGGCCTTGCGGCCGCCGATAACTACCCCGTCGACGACTAACTCACCCTTAGGGGGTTTTGCCATAGCCGTCCAAATAGCTAGCGGGTCTAATCTAGACCACTCCTCCTCTAGCTCCTCTAAGGACTCAAACACATTCAACGAACAGAGGATCGCTGGGTCCGAATGTGTTTGCGGGACGGCAACGAAGTCAGTAGCTTGGGCCATCTCTCGAGATGGTGAGGGTGTGTCCACCACCTCGACCCTATCAGGAACAACTACTATTCCTACTGGCCCGACGTGTTACCCGGAGCAGTTCCATAACTACTGGCAACATTGCTACCTACGGGAGCGGAGGATCCCAACGCCTGCCCCATCGTAGGCGGGATATTTTTCGTCGCCTTCTTATTGTGGCATTTGAACTGGTTATGGCCATATTGACCACAACGAATACACGCCTGCCTGGTGTACCGGTCCCTCGACACGTCCTCTGTAAGACCCCCTTTCTCCCATGGTAGAGCATTGGTGTCAACTTGACTCCTAGACCGGGAGCCTCCACGGCGTCTACCGGTCGCCTTGCCTTTCTGCACTGAGGCAGCGACTGATCCACCCCCTAAAGCCTCTACGCTGCCCGCCTCTGTACCTACTCCCTCCTCGAAGTCGTCATCTAATTCGATGGTAGAACCATCGTTATAGACGAACATGATGCGACCCTTCGCCTTCCAATTGGGAGGCAGTGCTTTCTTCCTTCCGTCCGTTGTGGGTTGGTGCCCGTGACCTATCTTTGCATCCAGGTCTAGGGCCTTCTTGCTAAATGAGGGAAAGTTGTGCACATCGATGTTCGCCTCACCTGCCAACTGATTCCGGAGTGGCATGGGTAGATACCTGAGGTAAGTTGGCAGTAAGACTTGGGGGTCATAGCGCACTCCAGGAACACAGATCAAACGCTCTACAACGTTTGTGGCATCCCTTACTGACTTGAACGGTCTGTTGCTCAGAGTCAGGATCGCATCAGTGGCCTTTTGGGCCTCCTGAGGATCATGCCATCTTTCCTCCACCATCGTGAGGAAGTCTTCCAGTTTCTGGTTGACTGCCCAAGTGCGGAAGTCATGTCTGTATCCCTGCAGTTGCACTAACCCGCTTAACCATCTTGCTGCACTCCCCTCAAGATAGGAGGCAGCCACAAGCACTTTCTCGTGTGGCAAGGTTAAACTTGCACTTAACATAAACTGGCACTGACCTCAACCATGTGTCGAGGTCTTCGCCCCTCTTGTCCCCTGAAAAGGGTTTGGGTGAGGCAATGGCCGTCTTTGGAACCCACTGGCCTCGTCTTGGTACCTGCCCCATTCTGGGTTGTGGACCCTGGGGCGCAGGTTGCTGCACTAACGACTGTTGGGGCTGTGCCCAGCTGTTGTGCTGGCTGCGAGACAGCATGCTGCCCAGTCACGGCAACCTGCGACGGAGGTTGGGAATACACTGTCTGTACAGGAATCTGTACACTAGGACCTGCTGAGAACCCGCCTGTCAGAGGCATTCCTAGGGAAACGGCTGGTACCGATGCTGGTGGATTGACAAATGGGGATACCCCAGTCACCGGTGGGATAAAAGGAGGAGGTTGTACCACGGGCCAGGCACCAGGCCCTGATGGTGATGGCGCCGCCTGAGCTCGCCCGAGCAACACGGCCAGGCTCTGCTGGATGTCCTGTAAGAGCGCCATTTGGTGATCCTGCATCTCTACTACTTCTATCAAGACCGTCCTCAGGGTCCTCACATCATCATCCATTTCTGTCAGGTCCATCGCCTCTAACTCACTAATATCCTGGCTCTTCTCCTGATCATCCTCTCTTTTTTTGCCTTTCTCTCTCCTAAAGCCTTCTGTAGTTGTGCCTCCTGAGCATCTGCTTGTTGTATGGCGACCTCTTCGAGGGTCAATACTAACGGCTGGCTTGCCATGACGCCAGTGGGTCTGTTCGACCGTTGACCCTACAGTCCCTGTACTACTAGCCTGAGAGCTCTGCTGCACAGCAGTTGCCATGGCTGTTGAAATAGCCGCCTTGCTTGCGAATGCCGTGCTTGCCTCTGCGGCCCTGGCTCTTCGCTGCTGCTGCTGCCTCTCTGTGTGCTGGCGGAAAAAGAGTCTGTAGCCCTCTGGTCCTAATGCCAAGTGGGCTATTGGGCGCCTCGCTGATTGCAGGATCCGGTCCAACCAAATAAGAGCACAGCAAAAGCTCATAACTGACAATGTTCGAATGGTCTCATCATCATCAACAAAGAACCAATGTCGACATCCTATCTGGTGCTCTGTGCCCATACTACAAATGGCAGATCCTATCTAGCCTATCTACAATGCCGCTGGTGACATCAACAACTCCCCGAAGTACGAGCAGATCTCGGCCAATGCCGTTCACCTCAAGCACTAGGTATGTCTCTCGTATCACTCACAACCTCGATCCCCCACTCACAGATGCCATGTGCACCCAAGGACCACCATGCGCCCCATCCAGCATACAGCAGTGCAGCTCGGCTATGGTTGCCTGCTCATCCAGCTCGCCTGTGAGTGCGTGAGCGCTGGCCAGCGTCTAGCGCAGCAGCGCTTGCGCAGCCCGTGCCTGAGTGAGGAGTGCTGGGGCAGGCACTTTCCTAAATGGAAGTGGCCTGCCTGCATTGGGCCTCGGTCCAGAAGCTTCCGGTAGGCCCCGTGAGGCTGAGCCCCAGTCCGAACGAATCAGGCCGAGGGCCTGTGGTGGTTACCCCCCGTGCCCAACTGCCCGCAGCCTGTGTTCGGCCCATGTTGTGTATCTGGCCCAGGGCCTGCATCAGTTACATACGAAAAAGGCAGCCTGGGCCTGGGCGCTCTCAACCAAATGGCGCTGCGCAACTGCCTGAATTTCCCCACTTGCGTGGTAACCCCAAAAATGGGCCTGTAGGCCTTGGACGAGCCTGCCTTCACTTAGGGCGGCCGACTGTACTGAAAATAGGGCCCAGTAGGCCGTATCGAGGCCTAGTGCCTCGCACAACATTTTTCCCTCACTTGAAAAAAAAAAACAAAAAACATTTGAATATTTTCCAACGGACAACAGAGTACACCTTCTTTTTGTATAATAATAACAGTTGGATGCTCAAGAGCACTATCAAAGCCGATCCCATCACGAACGACTTCTTTGTGTGATAATAATAATTGCCTTCCATTTTCTCCACACATTCGTTTGCACCATACATTTTCCACTACCCCCTGCCTCCCATCTCTTCTTCCATTCACTACTTTAGTACTTTCCCATCTTTTGCTCCTCATCTTCTCCCCTCGCCATCCCCCCTGCCTCCACTTTCACTCCCCCTCCACTGCAGCAGTGTAGCTGCGGCGGGTCCACTTGTTCTTTTTTAAAAGAACCAGAGATAGGCTTGCCCTAAACAAAAAACTTCATAAAAAGATTCCTTGTTGCGAATAGGTGGCAAAGCTATGAAGTAGTATGAACAGGTGCAAGTAATCCCGAACGAGCAGTCCCAGGTGAAAGAACCAAGCTCAAATGGCATGAAAATCACCTCTCTCTCTCTCTCTCTCTCTCTCTCTCTCTCTCTCTCTCTCTCTCTCTCTCTCTCTGGTATGAAGCTCGTAGACCTCCAGAATGTAAACCACATAAGGCCGAAGGCTATACATGGTCACCAATGTGACCATGTGCCCTAGCCCAGTGCAAGGCATTAGGCCATCTCTTTCAATGCAAACAGCCTCCCCTCCAGCTACCACTGCACTGCTGCTGCAGTGAGGCAAAAAGAAAAAGGGAGACACGCTGGCCAGTGGTGTTTGTGCGGGATGCTTAGAGCCATCATTTGGTAATCAAAGCCTTGCGCACTGGGCCCGTTTTCGTGGGGAAAAAAACAAAAACAAAAAAAAAACACGAATATCAGGAAAATGTGCTTTCTTCTTTCCACTCCCTAGGCTTTTGAAATTTTTGGCCTTGGTGACCCATTCGATTCCAAGCTTTTCGTTCTTTCTTTCTTTTTCAATTTCTCTTTCTTTTCAAGAAGACTGTCTCGTTTAATTTCTTTCTTCTTTGTTAAGTTCTTTTCCTGTCTCATCCCATTTCTAATGGGCCCCTTGCCCATGTGCCTGAAGGGACGCCAAGGGCTGCTCCTGTGTGCAAAATATGTCCATAAACCGGGATTGAAGATCTCCGACATTTATGCCTGCACAAGCTGCACTGCAATAAATGCCCATCGCATTATCAGAACATTGGTGGAGGCGCGTATGCGTCAATCCCAGTGCCAGACGGAGCCTCGCATTGGGCACACCACTTCATCCTTCAGAGTGTAGCCTCCAGAAGAAGCTTCTCCAGAAAAGAACGACAATTATAACAACCGTCTTCTCTATGAAGCAGAAGAGATCGTCATCGGAGGGGCGCGATCTTGGGACTTTATGGTCCCCGCAGAGCGCTGTGGTGAAGCGAGGGGAAGAGTCAACTTCTTCCTCAATGATTGGAGTGGAGGTTAAGTACGACACTCAGCTGCCAATGACACCCGAATTGCCCCATGATGAGTACACTGGAGCCCTTTCACCAGTGGGCCCTACACCGGCCAGGCGGAACAAAGCACAGTGGGCAGATACGGGGATGTTTATTTGGTTGGGGGGGGGGAGAAAGGGGAAACTACGTGGGAGTCACAAAAACGAGTTATCATTGCACTATGGGCCAAGATACAGTTTCGAATTGCAGTCCGGGCAATGTATACAACCCAGCTTTCTGGCCAGGTAGGGTGCTTGAAGTGCAATTGCGAACTGTATCTTGCCCCATACTGCAATTATAACACGTTTTTGTGACTCTACTCAAAAGTTGCCCCAAGAAGAAAAGAGTAGACTTTGGGGGTGCAAAAGAGAAAGGATACTGCAGCACCAAATGAGTGGTGACCTGAGCTGGAGATTTCCTCTTTCTTTCTGAGAACTGTAGCTTGGCATTTGAGACTCTTCTTGAGTTCTGTTCTGGGGATTGCTAGTAATTTCCGCAGCAAATGAAGAGAGAGAGAGGGTGATTTTGAAGTAAGTTTAAACCAAGAGTACATGGCCCCAGCCAACTTGAGAGTCGCGATTGAGGCTCTCCCAAAAAAAACCAGGCTCAGGGCAGCTAGACCAAAATGGCTGGCGGCGCCGGCCAAAACTAAAACAAAAATGGCGCACTGGCGTTTCGGCAAAGCTTGGCACACAGTCAGAATCTGGCTCGGACAAAATAGGCACGGATGTACGGGTCTGTCTTTTAATTTTGAGGCTTTTCTTGAGCCACAATTTGGGCTCCTCTTTGGGATTGGTGGTAGTTTCAGCAGCGGCAAAAATGGGTTAGGAGCTGAGCTAATGTGGCTTTTTCTCATTCGTTATACATATGCCCCTTGCTCGAGCTTGGCCAGAGGTTTATATAAACCTGTTTTGTAATTGGCATTTATTATAATACTATATAGTTACTATTAGGTAGGAAAATACACACGAGCAGAGACCTGCACCTGCGATTCCAAACTTTTCTCTTATACCTCTTTTCTGAACCATTGTCACCAGTCCGGTGAACCTTGAGAGTACGAATTGTATTACACCCTCCTTTTTATTTTCCATCTCTCTCTCTCTCTCTCTCTCTCTCTCTCTCTCTCTCTCTCTCTCTCACACACACACACACACACACACACACACACACACACA